TGACATGGGTTACTCAGACACTCATTTATCTCAATGTCACAATATAGACCTACAAAAAAACAGAATTTTACTTGTTAATTTTCAAAGAAATTAAAAACAAAAGATTAACAAAAGAACATTGTCATTATTTTCCATCATCATGACGTAATATTATTTATAAACATGATCAAAGTCGACAAGAGATATCAATTTCTCTCTATCATCAGTCATCATAATTCATCTCTGTATTTTTTATTTTAAAATTATCAATAATTGTTTCATATTTCCCATCCAATTTTGCTACTGAGATAGATTTTGCAAAGAACTTGGCAATGCACTGTCTTACCTTCAAAACCAGGTGCACAAAGGCATTCAAAGTCACCAGACGGTATAAGTACGCAAGTTCCATCATTTTCACATACAGTAAACTGGCATAGTGACAAAGTGGTTGGCTGAGGAGCTGGCGTCGTTGGCCGCAGTGAAATCTGACATAGAGCACCTAAAAATGAGAAATAAATATTCACTGTGAATTCTTGATCACAAGGTATCTTTACGGATGTAATAGAGTTTTCCTGGTAGTAAAATACATAATAAATATATTCCCAGAAAAGTTGTTCATTTCAACCTATATATTTTATGAAAGCTCAGACTTTAATCAGGTTATATCAGGCCTTGGTTTGTCACATAATCATAAGTAAATAAATCCATTATTGAGACCATGAATCAGTATTGTGTAGAAATTAAAAAGGATATTGAAAATGTGTGAAGCAACATTTTGTAGCTGCTTGCAGAAATTTTAGGACTTAATGAATGAAAAATATTTTATAAACTTTTCAAATTTCAAATAAAATTTGGATGTTTACAATAAACAATGAACACACTCAGGATTTACATGTATGTTTTCCACAATCTGCACGGCACCAGGTCAGAGAGTTTATAATAATAAGTAATTCGTTATTGACACTGTGTCTTACCTTCAAAGTCTGGTGGACAGCGGCATTCAAAGCTTCCAGTTGGTAAAATTACACATGTTCCATCATTTTCACATATGGTAAATGTACAAAGTGA